AAAAGCAATAACCATACCCGACAATTTGCCGTGGGTACTTTGGATGTTGGGCGAGACAAATTTGAATAATAATTGAGGGCATTTAATCTACCTCGGACCCAATTGATATGCCAATCACACTGGTAAATCTAGTAAACCGTGTCAGTCAGTCAGCCTCCAGTGGGAGAGGAGAGGAGAGGAGAGGAGAGGAGAGGAGAGGAGAGGAGAGGAGAGGAGAGGAGAGGAGAGGAGAGGAGAGGAGAGGAGAGGAGAGGAGAGGAGAGGAGAGGAGAGGAGAGGAGAGGAGAGGAGAGGAGAGGAGGCCCAAGGACAGAGCTCCTTTCAGTCGCCCTTTAATTGCTGCTGGCAGCCATGACGACCCAGAGTCATTGAGAATCAGCGAGCAGCCCAGGGCTACGGACCAGAACAGCAGCATTTCAAACCGTTTCAACTTGATCAACATTTCAGAAGAGTGCCACAAGCCAAAGCGCCAGGCTTGATCAGAGCATAGTAGATTAGCGTCAGTGTCAATGGTTCATACAATGAACTTTATGAGGAGCACATCATGAGTGGATTTTAATGTTGCGCTCTGAGTCACCATCTGTTTACTCATAGGGGAGTACACACACACACACACACACACACACACACACACACACACACACACACACACACACACACACACACACACACACACACACACACACACACACACACACACCACAGGGGAACTGGAGTGGTAATGTTAATCCTGATGTTATATTACCATCAGTGGAGGGATGAAAATTAATTAAAGTATCTTAATCAATGGCATGTTTGCCTCCTTCAGTCTGTGATGATGATGCACTGTTAACCACCTCCCGGGGCTGACAGACTGAATTAACCGTCTGAACCTCTTAAAAACCATCCTGTAAGTAACAAAACGCATGACTCACTTTGTCAAAATATAGTTAGGAGAGGGTAACGTTTTGAAATTCTGGCTAGATAATTGGTTCAAACCTCTACGAGCAATCAATATGTAGTGTGTAATGAGAGGCTGAGGAGCTGAGGGGTGTCACCGTGGGGGGCCAGGGAAATGCCTGCCAGAGCCTGACTACCATCCAATTTAGTAATATCCCTGTAGAATTCATTTCCCGAAAAATGGAGCCAATTTGTTCTGAAATGAGTAATCTAACACGGTGAATGCAAGGAATCATAAATCACACGTTAAATTTGCTTTAGTGTAAGACCTCCAGTTCCATGAATTTATATAACTCTTTCTCGCGTTATTTGTATTTAGAACTGTCGTACAAAATTGATGTGCGTAGGCCTATGTCTTCTTGTCTTTTGTGTGTTCTTACAACTCTCATTCTGAATGCACTCTTACAAATAGAGTATAAGCCGATTATTATTCTACTTAAATGGGAAATACACATACTACTGCCATTGAAATATCAACAATGGAACAATACCTGTTGAAACCATTAAAAATCAGTCAGCCGAGAAGAGTGATCGTCATACGTGAAGAAATCGTTCAAGAAGAAGGAATATATAAATGAGAAACCAACCATCTTTCTCTCCTGTGGTTTAAAATCAAATTAAGTATATATTCTCATCACAGCGAAATCCCACTGAGATAACACAAACATTTACTCAGCCAGAGCCATGACATAAACAGCTTCACATATTCAATATTTGTAAACAATGAGACAAAATCATATTCCGGCTCTCCTCGGTTGTGATAATAATACTCTTCAAGACAACGGTTAGTCAAGAACGCCTGTTACAGTAATGTTTATTTCAACCAAAGATTTGATCTTCAACTTTTTTACTGAAAATGTATTCTGACAGTTTTCTTTGAAGAGTTTGATTTTCTGTTGATGCAAGTGAAATATTTGTTATTGCTTTATGGAATATACTGTCTGTAAATAAATATTGTAAATTAACTTTGATCTGTGTATCTGATTTAACAAGTAGAGTATTTTCCCAGTGAGAATCAGAAATGTCCTCATACTGTAGGTTTCCCTTAGACAAACACAAATCCCTCCAGCAAACCCCAGTCAGATCTGTCAAAAACATGAGCTACAATGGGCCTCTGTGAGTATATTTAATTATTATGTTCAGTAGAACCTCTCTCTCTCTCTCTCTCTCTCTCTCTCTCTCTCTCTCTCTCTCTCTCTCTCTCTCTCTCTCTCTCTCTCTCTCTCTCTCTCGGGGCGTCATATTTCACATTGGTATGCATTCAGTCAAAAGAAGGGAATGCAGTTTGATAAATGGAGGGGCTCCAGAGATGAAGCATGTCCCCCGTGATTGCTTCCACAGCCATTACTCACATAGCCTGGTGATTACAGAGACTACATCCCAAATGGCACCCTATTCCCTATATAGTGCACTACTTTTAACCAGGGCCCATGTTTAAAGTACAGAGGAAATGTATTTGTATGAACAAGTATCCTGATGAGACTCTCAACGGTTTTGTGTTTTTACTGGTATTACTGTAATGCCCTGTTAAAAGGTGATTATTTTTCTAATAAGCACTCTGACATGTCAACTGATCTTGGTACCTTGACTGATCTTGGTATTTGACATTGTAGCTACAGCAGCACAACAACAACATTACTGCCATCATGCTATGTCAGCCTATTTCTCTTTGAAAAGGTTAATTTGCACCCCACACATTCCTACCGCTAGTTAAACAGTCCATTAAGCAAGCGTTAAGCGATACAGCATTTTGTTACTGGTCAATATCCACAGTACATTGCACAATAATATATGCAGCAGTCTGCTTTCAAGTACCCATTTGGAGAATCTATATTGAGCAATTTACAAATGAGACTACATATCTGTACAAGTTCATATTGTGCCTGCAAATAATATACAGTAAACAGACAGCAAATACCTTGTAACCATTGGCAGGAAAAGCTACAGTAATAATTTGTTAAATTAATTACTACACTGATTTACCTGTCTGGGAACACAACTCCTGCATATAAAATGAAAAAAGCCCTCCGTTGACTAGATTTCACCTCGTCTACATGGTAGGATTAGGTACATACAGTATTGGTTTAAGAATAGAGGTACTTGTGAAGGCTTATGCTGCAGCCTCCCAGCAGGACAGTCTGTACTCTATTCAGTAAGGAATGGATTGCTACACTAGTACTGTACTGTATGGCCTCATCAGTCCCTGTCAAACTGCACGGTCATATTCAATTAGAGCAAATTAGACAACATTAGTTATGCCCTATTAAATTATTAGGGGAAAGTCATATCAAAGAACGGTTACATAAGAACGTTTTTTTCCCTCATATCATTTCCCTTTTTTCTTTACAATGAGATCTTTAACCATGCAAACACATCTGGCCAACCTTAAATGTGGGTGAACACTCTATCCTATATATGTCAGGAAATGCCCATAACCGGATTGAATGTTCAAAATGCAGAATCGAAGGTGGCCACCTCAGGTGGACGATGACTAAAACTTCCGATGTTCCCTAATGAGTGGAGCTAACTAAAGCTTGTTGAGCACTTTCAGAAATAGGTCATGACCTTGGTTAGTCCTCCTTGCCTGACTGAATCCCCAAATGAAAACAACTCTTATTGGTGGGATTTTGCATTATGTTAGCTCTTTGAGAGGATACTAATTGTCTGTTAATAACAGTTCACTACCACTATATGTCAGAATGATGCGCATCATGGACTGAGATAATCTTTTCAGGGGCAGTAATTAATACAGTAGCTAGATAGAGTAGCATCACCGACGCTCCGTGGTGAGCCCACCGGGGGCCTCTGGAAACAGCTCTAGCTAATGGGCTAATGAGCTAGCTAACAGGCTAGCAGTTAATGAGCCTCAAGCACTCCAAACATCATCACTCCAGACATCATCCCCCAGAAACACTTTCCATTTTTGTGACTACATTTCCCAGGGGGCATTGCGGCAGCTGCATGACTGATTCTTCCCAGTTTAATTTAATGCTCTCTTGCTTCCCTAGATTGCTCTATCTGCCAGATAAAACCAGCATGGCTGTGGAGACACTCAAACTCAATCCTCAGATGAAGCCTGTGTTATTTTCTCTCTCCCATGAGCTGACTAAGAAACAACGCTCCATGAGACAGCAGGACAAGATTTTCACATCCAGCGTTAATAAGAAAGAATGTATGCGAAAGGGACTTTAGAATTTCACTGACAAAAAAATTATAAAATATCTGGAGAGAAAAACATTTTTAAAACTTTTAAGCAGTATTGCAGCATCAACTTTTCTCCATAAAGCTAAACTTTAACCAGCACTTAGAAATTGCTGAATTTCAGACACACAAAAAAGATAGAATATTAACTAACTATGGTGTATTACTAATTTATGCCACCTGTGCATACCATATGAACTAAATGTGAGGTCCTGAATAATGCAAAACCCACTTTTGCAGGCAGAGAGAGAGTTGCAAACTTTACACTATTCCTACCCCCGACTTCCCTATCTTTGTGTTTTAGCAAAGAAGGCTGAAGCACAGAACCACACTTCTTAAAACGATCCCCTAATGCAAAGACTTTGGAGAAATTATAAAGCTAGTATAGGCTATAGGGAAAGATCACAGAGTCTGTGACTCACCCTATGGAATGGAGATCAGGCTGTACATGTTTTCTTCTAATCACAGATCTAGAGTCAGATTACCCTAGCCCCAAACCTAACCTTAACCATTAATGGGGTAGAAAAAATCTCTCTCTCTGAATCAGTGTTTAGGCCGTTAGAGGCAATTTCTTCTACCAGCTCCCTGTTTCCCATTACATTACATCTCTGTAAGTGAGACGGGTAACAGGCCAGGGCTGAGAATGAGTCTGATGTGGTATTGATATTGTTGATCCAGTCAGCTTGGTCGGTCAATGCTTTCAGGAGAGAGATCAATGGCTGTGTCCGTGAGATGAGAAATATAGGAGAGGAATAATGTAGCAAGTCATCCAGCCAGCCGACACGGCAAATTTAACCTTCCACTATTCTGTGTTGTGTACCATGTGTGGAGCTCAGCTTGGCTGATACAGTATCTGTCCATTAGCAGCCCTTCTCCTTTCCTCCCCCTCTCCCCCTCCTCTCCTCCTCCTTCTCTCCTCCTCTCCGGCTGAAACATGCATTGTCAGGACTTCCTCCTACAACTACAACTACAACAACAACAGCCTACACTGATGCTGACCAGAGATGATTTTGTACTATACATCCAGTCACGAGTCGGTTTGTTTATGTGGACAAGTGTGTCGTGTAATGTCACAACATCTAACATCACAGACATGCTTCTGCTGGCTCCCAAGCATGTTTATGGTGCATTGGAGGCAATCGAACGACTAATATTGTAAGACCGACTGAATACAAAAGAGAAAGCCAAGAAGATGAAGCTTACAGAGTTGACAGAGTTGACTTTGTGTTTACGTTGCTGGAATAGGAGAGCGCACACCTACAGTTCCACTGGTGGGCTGCTAGCCTTTAAGGTTATTGCCTCTGGCTTTCTGACTGAGCTCTCCATTGAGGGCTTCACTCCCAGAGCCACTCCCAACCAGCACACAGAGAATCTGGAAAATTGCCTGGAACCATTGGAGTTTGTGGAAAGATACGACAATCCATCATTGCCTTTTCTCAGAATGTAAAACACACACACACAAAATAACTGAGCAAACAAATGTATCTCCATCTGCAGTCAGTCAGTCAGTCAGTCAGTCAGTACAGTACAGTATACAAAGTGCCATTTGAGTCCCAGTATATAAAGCACTGAAGGATCACCATCTCGACACAGACCCAGTCAGCATTCCCCAAGGACAGGGCTTTGAAACGTGACCCTCGACAGACCTCCGATAGACCCTACAGCCAATCATAAGAAAGAGGAAGAGGCAGGGAGAGAGAGAGAGAGGGAGAGGGAGAGAGAGGGAGAGAGAGAGAGAGGAGAGAGAGAGAGCGAGATGAGAGAGGGAGAGAGAGAGGAGCAGAGATGAGGAAGTAGAGAGAGAGAGAGCGAGAGAGAGGAGAGAGAGAGAGGGAGAGAGAGAAAGAGAGAGAGCGAGAGAGCGAGAGAGAGAGAGCGGAGGAGAGGACGAGAGAGAGCGGAGAGAGAGAGAGGAGAGAGAGAGAGAGAGAAAGAGAGAGAGAGAGAGTGACAGAAAAGAGATAGAAGTGAGAGGGTGAGCAAGCTAAAAGGGAGAAAAAGACAGAAAAGGCTGAGGAAAAGAGGAATATGTCAAACTACGCCTCTGAACCGCCTCTCTGTACAGCCCCAGCATATGGAGCCTCCCACTCTGTCCTGACTGCCTTCAGGGGGTTCTCCCTTGAGCGATCCCTCCTCTTTCTCCTCCTCTTTCTCTTCTCTCCTTCTTCTCCTCCAGGAGTTGTTCCCTTGTTCCTGTCATCCTGAGCATGTTTCCTGAGGGCAGTGCTCTGCTCCGTCCTCCCATAGCTGCCGTCAGTTACCTCTGTCCCTGTGTCTCGTTTCAGTCCCTGGCTCCCACCACGCACGCACACACACACACACCACACGCACGTGCACACCAGTGGAGGCTGCTGAGGGGAGGACGGCTCATAACAATGGCTGCAACGGAGCGAATGGAATGGCATCAACCATGTGCTTGATGTATTTGATACCATTCCACTCAATCAGCTACAGCCATTACCACGAGCCCTTCCAACCTCCTGTGGCGCGTGTACTCACACACACACACACACACACACACCATCTCTGTGTCTCTGTGCTGTCCCTGGGTCCCACAGGCTCAGGACTACAGTACACTACTGCGACTACACCAACTGTAGTACAATTAAGATAAGGAACTCGAACTCCCTCACAACAACACAGAACACACAGTTGGGAAGTGGATTCAAATACCAATATGCTGGGGTGAAGGTAAGGCGGTAAGGTCCGGTATGGCATCCCGACAAAATAAATAGTGGGGTATGTGGTACTGGTAAAACATGAGCCTATCACAATAATTAAAAGAAAATGTCAAGAAAACTGTAGCTTATTACATCACTATTTATCATTAGGCTACTGCATGTCAAAGGCATAAAAAATTACTTGAAAACAGGTGGTATATCTTACGCTCCAAAATGCGATGTGGCTCGACGAGAACACTGACATTTTGCCAAGGCAGAGATGAATGCCTGACACCGAGACTCGCACGGACAGCAGTGGATGCATAAATTCTGGCCTAATGACAATGCCCAAAATGTCATTACACTTTGTGGTGTTTTGTGTAACAGGTGTCTCTTTCCATTCATCACTGTTTGGAGGCTGGAAATATGTTGAGAGTGGATGAACGTGCGCAGGTAGCCTATTAAAGTAGCCCTTTCAAGTGATTGTTTGACAATCAGATGAAAACATCATGACTGGTTGTGTTTATGCCACAATTAAAGGTAATACATTTTAACGGCGCACTATGCAGAAATCGCTCCGCCATTTCCAGGTTCTAAAAAAATTCTAATAGTTTGCCTAATTTCAGTTTATGTGACAAATCAAGCAAGTAAAGTGTTGAGAATCATTGTTGAATCTAAACTGCTGTGAAATATATTATATACTTCATTCCTCCAGTCAGTGAGATGTTAACAGAGCCTGAATATATGTATGATCTCCCTCTTCCTCCTTCCTTTCTCCCCTTCGTCCCCCCTCCTCCCTCTGCTCTACCACTAATAGCCCCCAGGGAAACTTCATTATTTATCGCTATTGAAGTGGGGCTTTCAATTATAATACCAAACCCCCCCCCCTCTATTACCCCAAGCTCTGGGCCTGGGGAGTGGGAGAGGAGGGGCATTGATTACCTGTAGCCTCTACCAGACATGATTCAAGTGGGCTGCGACTGAGGAAAGTTCACGGGATCAACGACAATGACGGTAATGTGAAGGTAATTTCTAATCAAATCCAATCTCATTTTATTTGTCACACGCTTCGTAAACAACAGGTGTAGACTAACAGTGAAAAGCTTACTTACGGGCCCTTCCCAACAATGCAGAGAGAAAGAAAATAGAGAAATAATCTTAACGTAATAAGACGTAATAATAAATATACAATAACTATATACACAGGGTACCAGTACCGAGTCGATGTGCAGGGGTACGAGGTAATTGAGGTAGATACAGTGCCTTGCAAAATTATTAATCCCCCTTGGTGTTTTTCCTATTTTGTTGCATTACAACCTGTAATTTAAATGGATTTTTATTTGGATTTCATGTAATGGACATACACAAAATAGTCCAAATTGGTGAAGTGAAATGAAAAAAAAAACTTGTTTAAAAAAAATGGAAAAGATAAATAACGGAAAAGTGGTGCGTGCATATTTATTCACCCCCTTTGTTATGAAGCCCCTAAATAAGATCTGGTGCAACCATTTACCTTCAGAAGTCACATAATTAGTTAAATAAAGTCCACATGTGTGCAATCTAAGTGTCACATGATCTGTCACACGATCTCAGTATATATACACCTGTTCTGAAAGGCCCCAGAGTCTGCAACACCACTAAGCAAAGGGCACCACCAAGCAAGCAGCACCATGAAGACCAAGGAGATCTCCAAACAGATCAGGGTTGGGTTATAAAAAAATATCTGAAACTTTGAACATCCCACAGAGCACCATTAAATCCATTATTAAAAAATGGAAAGAATATGGCACCACAACAAACCTGCCAAGAGAGGGCCGCCCACCAAAACTCACGGACCAGGCAAGGAGGGCATTAATCAGAGAGGCAACAAAGAGACCAAAGATAACCCTGAAGTAGCTGCAAAGCTCCACAGCGGAGATGAGAGTATCTGTCCATAGGACCACTTTAAGCCGTACACTCCACAGAGATGGGCTTTACGGAAGAGTGGTCAGAAAAAAGCCATTGCGTAAAGAAAAAAATAAGCAAACACGTTTGTTGTTCGCCAAAAGCCATGTGGGAGACTCCCCAAAGATATGGAAGAAGGTACTCTGGTCAGATGAGACTAAAATTGAGTTTTTTGGCCATCAAGGTAAACACTATGTCTGGCGCAAACCCAACACCTCTCATCACCCCGAAAACACCATCCCCACAGTGAAGCATGGTGGGGGCAGCATCATGCTGTGGGTATGTTTTTCATCGGCAGGGACTGGGAAACTGGTCAGAATTGAAGGAATGATGGATGGCGCTAAATACAGGGAAATTCTTGAGGGAAACCTGTTACAGTCTTCCAGAGATTTGAGACTGGGACAGAGACTCACCTTCCAGCAGGACAATGACCCTAAGCATACTGCTAAAGCAACACTTGTGTGGTTTAAGGGGAAACGTTTAAATGTCTTGGAATGGCCTAGTCAAAGCCCAGACCTCAATCCAATTGAGAATCTGTGGTATGACTTAAAGATTGCTGTACACCAGCGGAACCCATCCAACTTGAAGGAGCTGGAGCAGTTTTGCCTTGAAGAATGGGCAAAAATCCCAGTGGCTGGATGTGCCAAGCTTATAGAGACATACCCCAAGAGACTTGCAGCTGTAATTGCTGCAAAAGGTGCCTCTACAAAGTATTGACTTTGGGGGGGGTGAATAGTTCTGCACGCTCAAGTTTGTCTTATTTCTTGTTTGTTTCACAATAAAACATATTTTGCATCTTCAAAGTGGTAGGCATGTTGTGTAAATCAAATTATACAAACCCCCCCCCAAAATACATTTTAATTCCAGGTTGTAAGGCAACAAAATAGGAAAAATGCCAAGGGGGGTGAATACTTTCGCAAGGCACTGTATGTACATATACTGTAGGTAGGGATAAAGTGACTAGGCAATGGATAAATAATAAACAGTAACCGCAGCGTATGTGATGAGTCAAAAAAAGTTAGTGCAAAAAGGGTCAATGCAGATAGTCCGGATAGCTTATTGGTTAACTATTTAACTATCTACACTGCTCAAAAAAATAAAGGGAACACTTAAACAACACATCCTAGATCTGAATGAATGAAATAATCTTATTAAATACTTTTTTCTTTACATAGTTGAATGTGCTGACAACAAAATCACACAAAAATTATCAATGGAAATCAAATTTATCAACCCATGGAGGTCTGGATTTGGAGTCACCCTCAAAATTAAAGTGGAAAACCACACTATAGGCTGATCCAACTTTGATGTAATGTCCTTAAAACAAGTCAAAATGAGGCTCAGTAGTGTGTGTGGCCTCCACGTGCCTGTATGACCTCCCTACAATGCCTGGGCATGCTCCTGATGAGGTGGCGGATGGTCTCCTGAGGGATCTCCTCCCAGACATGGACTAAAGCATCCGCCAACTCCTGGACAGTCTGTGGTGCAACGTGGCGTTGGTGGATGGAGCGAGACATGATGTCCCAGATGTGCTCAATTGGATTCAGGTCTGGGGAATGGGCGGGCCAGTCCATAGCATCAATGCCTTCCTCTTGCAGGAACTGCTGACACACTCCAGCCACATGAGGTCTAGCATTGTCTTGCATTAGGAGGAACCCAGGGCCAACCGCACCAGTATATGGTCTCACAAGGGGTCTGAGGATCTCATCTCGGTACCTAATGGCAGTCAGGCTACCTCTGGCGAGCACATGGAGGGCTGTGCGGCCCCCCAAAGAAATGCCACCCCACACCATGACTGACCCACCGCCAAACCGGTCATGCTGGAGAATGTTGCAGGCACTAGAACGTTCTCCACGGCGTCTCCAGACTCTGTCACGTCTGTCACATGTGCTCAGTGTGAACCTGCTTTCATCTGTGAAGAGCACAGGGCGCCAGTGGCGAATTTGCCAATCTTGGTGTTCTCTGGCAAATGCCAAACGTCCTGCACGGTGTTGGGCTGTAAGTACAACCCCCACCTGTGGACGTCGGGCCCTCATACCACCCTCATGGAGTCTGTTTCTGACCGTTTGAGCAGACACATGCACATTTGTGGCCTGCTGGAGGTCATTTTGCAGGGCTCTGGCAGTGTTCCTCCTGCTCCTCCTTGCACAAAGGCGGAGGTAGCGGTCCTGCTGCTGGGTTGTTGCCCTCCTACGGCCTCCTCCACGTCTCCTGATGTACTGGCCTGTCTCCTGGTAGCGCCTCCATGCTCTGAACACTACGCTGACAGACACAGCAAACCTTCTTGCCACAGCTCGCATTGATGTGGCATCCTGGATGAGCTGCACTACCTGAGCCACTTGTGTGGGTTGTAGACTCCGTCTCATGCTACCACTAGAGTGAAAGCACCGCCAGCATTCAAAAGTTACCAAAACATCAGCCAGGAAGCATAGGAACTGAGAAGTGGTCTGTGGTCACCACCTGCAGAACCACTTCTTTATTGGGGGTGTCTTGCTAATTGCCTATAATTTCCACCTGTTGTCTATTCCATTTGCACAACAGCATGTGAAATGTATTGTCAATCAGTGTTGCTTCCTAAGTGGACAGTTTGATTTCACAGAAGTGTGATTGACTTGGAGTTACATTGTGTTGTTTAAGTGTTCCCTTTATTTTTTTAGCAGTGTATTTAGCAGTCTTATGGCTTGGGGGTAGAAGCTGTTCAGGGTCCTGTTGGTTCCAGACTTGGTGCATTGGTATCGCTTGCCATGCAGTAGCAGAGGGAACAGTATATGACTAGGGTGGCTGGAGTCTTTGACAATTTTTAGGGCCTTCCTCTGACACTGCCTGGTATAGAGGTCCTGGATGGCAGGGAGCTCAGCCCCAGTGATGTACTGGGTCGTACGCACTACACTCTGTAGCGCCATGCGGTCGGATGCCAAGCAGTTGCCATACCAAGCGGTGATGCAGCCAGTCAAGATACTCTCAATGGTGTAGCTGTAGGACTTTTTGAGGATCTGAGGGCCTATGCCAAATATTTTCAGCCTCCTGAGGGGGAAGAGGCGTTGTCATGCCCTCTTCACGACTGTGTTGGTAAGTGTGGACCATGATAGATCCTTAGAGATGTGGAGATTGAGCTCTACACCCGCTCCACTACAGCCCCGTCGATGTGAATGGGGGCGTGCTCGGCCCTCCGTTTCCTGTAGTCCACGATAAGCTCCTTTGTCTTGCTGACATTGAGGGAGAGGTCTCTGACCTCCTCCTTATAGGCTGTCTCATCATCGTTGGTGATCAGGCCTACCACCATTGTGTCGTCAGCAAAGTTAATGATGGTGTTGGAGTCGTGGGTGAACAGGGAATACATCCCTGGTTAGATGGAGGTAGATCGGCATGCCGTATTATTCATGTAGTACCGTGAATAGGATTTAATGATGTCTAAGAGATGGAGAATGAGAAAGACGAGGGTTTACTCGGTAACCCTGGACAGGGATGAGAGAGTGTATTTGGAAAATGGTGCACAGTGTTCCTCTCAAGATGTTCCCTGCAAACCTTGATTTCAAAATGGCATCCAGTGTCAGATCTAATGAGGTGATTATGGTGTCTTCAACCTGATTCCTGCTGCAGGAAGGAAGGCAGCGTCAAAGAGACAGGAGAACACACTTCCTGTCTTTAAGAGAGGCATTGTCACAATGAGGCAAAATGGGGGGAGTTTAAAATGAACACAACTACATAGTAAACCATATTTAAATGAAGGGACAACCTTTACACCATGTGATAAACACACTACTGGTGTAGGATCTTAATTTGATCATTCCTGCTTCATGATTTACATAAATTCACTGAAAGCCCTCAGCAACACACGGTTATATCAACAGTGTAGCACTTTTCATGTATGCTCATTTTGGCCAGCTAACAGCCTAACCACGATTGCAAGCAACATTACATAGGCGGTAGTGAGAGCGATTAAACAGAATATTTTTTTGGGGGGGTTATTAAAAAATCTGACCAACGTCGGTTGAATTACTAGAATTTCATTTCATTTTTTTGCTCAGTGCTCTCTAGAGAGAAATCAAATAATTGACGAGATAAATTAAATCAAGAACGAACTGTGGGACACAGGGCTGTAGGGAGTTGTAGTTTTCACTAGGCAAATACTCAACCTAGTTCAACATAGAAAACGTGGTAATTAACTACAATGACCATAATCCATTGCGCCTGTCTTCCCGGCTCCGGACAGAGGTGGATACATGCAGACCACATGAGACCGCATGAGAGAGGAATGTAGAGAACAGGTAACAGGTAGCTCTACCTGATTGATAGTTGTAGTAGTTGGTAATAAGCCGGTCTTAAAGTATTTCTTATCTACTTTGAAAAATGTTTCATTGTCACATGCACCAGATACTTTCCCATGTGTATCAAGAATGGTCCACCACACAAAGGACATCCAGCCAACTTGATACAACTGTGGGAAGCATTGGAGTCAACATTGGCCAGCATCCCTATGGAACACTTTCATCACCTTGTAGAGTCCATGCCCTGACGAATTGAAGCTGTTCTGAGGGTAGTTCATCATCATGCCATTTGTCAGAATACAGTATTATTAAAGCTGTATGTTTCTGTGTACAATATTTACTGCAGAGAGAGACATTAGCTGACATAATAAATACTTGATGCCACACCATCCGAGACCAGCACCTCAGGCTCAAGATCAATACTCTAATACATTCGCATCAAAACCCGACATCTCTCCAAAATGAATTAGAACATAAATAATGGACAACAAAACAAATACTTCCCTTTCCCCCCTTGTCATCATTGCCCTTTCAATGTTTTTATCTTCAGGAAATAGATTTGGAGATGGATCACATCTGAAGCTGATGAAGTTTAATTTAATCTCTTCCCATGCATCATTATTTGAACAATACCATCAGCGTTTCAGAGAGAGCTTGTGTGCTCTGAATGGCAAGTCCGGCAATCATTCCATTTGTGTTCCCACATAATGGAAGCAAGGAGAATAGGAATGAAGGAGGAATGGAGGGAAGAGGAGGGGAAGATTTGCGTCGAGGAGCGAATAGAGAAGAGAGAGAGCGAGATAGACTAGCGATAGAGAGAGCTCGAGCTATCTAGAGAAGAGAGAGCCGATATCGCTAGAGCTATATCGATAGCAGCTCTCTCTATCGCGAGATCTCGCTCTCTCTATTTAGATCTACGCGCTCTCCATCGCCTCTCTCTCTCGCTCGCTCTTCGCGCTCGCTCTCGTCTCTCGCCTCTCTAGACTCCTCTCTTCTCTAGAACGAGCGAGAGAGAGAAAATTGAGAAAGTTATCTCACTTCCCCAGTCTTCGTCTCTCTGGCTCCTCTCTCTGAATAATAGATTAGAGATGAGAAGTGTAGTTTGCCTTGCAGGGGGGACAGCCAAGCAGCATACTGATGTAGCTATGAGGTCAGCTCAGTACCGGCAAGATCAGCCTGCATATTTAAAGGCACTTCAAGAAGCATCCTCAAATGATTAAGTAAAATAATGGAATTATGAAATATAAATATTAGGACGAGCAATGTCGGAGTGGCATTGACTAAAATACAGTACAATAGACTACAGTATATACATATGAGATGAATAAAACAGTATGTAAACATTATTAAAGTGACTAGTGTTCCATTATTAAAGTGGCCAGTGATTCCATGTCTATGTATATAGGGCAGCAAATTAGGAATAATAACAGGCTACATTTTCTACCTAAAATGGCATTGGTGGTGTGGATATGGAAAAAAACTCAGACTGACTCAAAGAGGAGACGTTGTCCCTTTGCTGGGGATTTCAAGTCGTCAGATCACCAAACGCCTCTAGTGAGAAAGGCTGTTCGCTGCTCACGTTCAGTCATAAAAAAATCTATTAAAACTTAACATGGCATTCTATGCCCTCCACTCGTGCACTGAGCCCCTGGTGTTGATTTTTTTTATTGGACCCCCTCCGTATGTTTGACACCCCTGTTCTAATGCATTTACATGGGAGCTAGCTCTCAGTTAGCTAGAGGAGGCCTCTTTCGGGATACACAAGTTCATTCTTTTTATTTCACAGACTGGTTGTGGCATTTGGAGAAAGCTTATCAGGACCTGTCGCCGGTCAAGAGGAGCCTGGAACATGTGAGTCTTGAAATGTTCCCCATCAGGGCCTCCTGAGAAGCACAGAGGTCTAAGGCACTGCATCGCAGTGCTAGAGGCGTCACAACAGACCTGGGTTCGATCCCAGGCTGTATCACAACTGGCGGTGATCGGGAGTACCATAGGGCAGCGCACAATTGGCCCAGCGTCATCCGGGTTAGAGGAGGGTTTGGCCGGGGGGGCTTTACTTGGTCGCGCTCTAGCGAATCCTTGTGGCGGGCCGGGTGCCTGCAGGCTGACCTCGGTCATCAGGTGAACAGTGTTTCCTCCGACACATTGGTGCGGCTGGCTTCCGGGTGTTAAGAAGCGTGGTTTGGTGGGTGATGTTTTGGAGGATGCATGCCTCCCGAGCCAGTTGGGGAGTTGCAGCAATGAGACAAGATCGAAACTGGGGAGAAATACAATATAAATTAAATGAAATGTTCCCTGGGGGATAGAGGCAGAGCCTGGCTCTATTTCCAGAAACTGGCAGTCTCTATCAAAAGGATGAGACTAAATAAGAACAATATATTCCTGAGAGAGATAGAGAACAGACAATGTTCTATTCGGAAAACATTGATGAGAGAGATGAGTTACACCATGTCAGTCCTTAATTCTAATAACAGTCTCTTATGGGAAGGCTTGTCATTCAACCATAAGAGGTTGCTTCGGTATTAGATTGTGTTCTATTTCCAACATAAGTGGATATGCAAAATTCCCGAGCTGCTAAATAGTGTTTCAGCACTAAAAACAACATAGATTAGCTGTGTATTGCCTCTCTCCAGTGCATTTGACTCAAAGATGATGAATAACAAATATAAAGGAGGGAAATTAGCATGAAAAACTCCTCTCATTTCAATCGATGCATAAAATATCTGCACTTACTTTAATGAGCAGCAATAAAAGTTGCCACGTAGCACAGCGGAGAGAAGAGGAGAGGAGAAGAGAGCATCCTGATTGATGTTGCACATTAGAGTGGTAGCCTCCCTAACCGAGCAAACATCACAGCATCACATTATCACAGCCTCCTCATTGTCCTCTCTCCCCTTCCTTCCTGTGATAAAGCTCTGAGGTAAACCCTGACATATGTTTACCTGTGATAAATAGAAAAAGAACACACCCACTCAAGTACAGGTGCCAGTTAGCTAGCTCTGCAGCTCTACAATTAACACATTCCGCATTTCTCCACCATCACACGTTTTTCCCTCAATTCCAACGCCATATCTTCTCCACTCCATATTCAGCTGAGAATGCACCACCTGAGAGCAACAAAAATGAAGATGCCTACCATTCTCTTCACTGCAATTGTGTAAGAGGAATCTTGCCCTAATTAAGTCCTAGCTGCTAATGAATGCTCCGGCCCCATCACTCTCTGAAGGACCATATTAGCACGACATTCATTGGATATTCTGCACAGCGCTCATCTGGCAGGTCAGTGACACCACCACCCAGCACCTGACCTCTAATATGTGAGGGGAATGCACAGAGGAGCCAGCTTTCAATCAAATGCCAGTTTCAGGTAGTAGTGCTTGTGTAATGGGTAACCTTGCCTGAGATCTTAAAGTGGAACTGACAGCGTTTTAACTGCTTTGCAGATATGAAACAAACAGAAAATCATAATATCAGTCAAAAATATCCAATTGCCAGTTTATGCTACAAAAGCAACTTTATAAGAGGTTTTAAGAATAGGTTCCATTTGACTCAAAATTCCATGACGTACAGTAAGACATTGTTGGCAGAATAGATGGATGCAGTTCAATGCATGATTAATATAATTCACCAATAAATGTCTTGGTAGTCCCCAAAATAGTGCTATCAGGGGGTAAATCACAGCTGGCCTGGTACATTGTTTGCTGCCCTCCACCCATTCGGATGCACTGTGTCAGTTTCAATGAGTCAATATATTGGACAAAAACGGGCGAATGTAACTAAGGCTGGGAATGTCAATACAATCAAACTAGCAAGGGCAAAGATCACAAGTCAGTCATAATGTGGCTAATAGGCTAGCATATCTATTTATGTAGCTCTTTATTTAGCGAGCTAAAAACACGGAATCCTCACATTAGCTAGCTAGCTGCTGAGAGGATGTAATGTCATTGGAGGAGTGGGTGAGTGACCAACTTTTCCCCCTCATATAATTTTGCGGTGGCTACAGCTAGATGAAGGTGTCATTTGGTTAGCTAGCAAACAATGAGAATCACTTTGCTAGCTAGCTAGCTATGCTGAATTTAAATGACTGTTATCCAGTTAGCATATCGCTTGCATTCATAAATTCACTCTGGCTATCTACTCCAATTTCAGAGCACTCTCGTCTGAGTGTGCCAGAGCACAGAATAACTGATTAATTTACGAATGCGCAACACCCGCTGAATATGACCGGTGTCAGTAGCTAAACGTATGCAAAAAAAGTAACAGTAAGTCACGAACGCTCTAGATAACATGTAAACAGCCTAACCAGCTCTGCTAGGGCGAGTAAAATGGTCAGAGTGAGGTGTTCTCTCATTTGTGTCAGGAAGTACTGTAGCTAGCAATCTAGCCAACTTTAGCCAGTTAGCTTGTGTACTTGACTGCCATTGTGAGGAACGCTCGGATCAACCCTACTCCTCAGCCAGTGCGTTCAGTGTCAATCGTGCAGTGTACGCTCGGAGAGCGAAAGGCTCTGAATTTACAAACCGACAATCTGACAATGCTCTGAATTTACGAATGACCCAGAGCACACTCTGACACACTGGAGGCAATTCATGAACGTACCCTTAGCTAGTTGTCAATCAAATGTATTTGGCATTGATCAGGCAAGTTCCCATTTAGTTGTGGGTTGGGACAAGCACGCATTGGCAGGCAAGCTGCAGAAGGACAAGCAGGCTAATATTTCCCATCGTTTATCAGTGCAATTTTGATGGCCAATTAGCTGAACTAGTTTGAGAGGGTTTATCCCTCGTTAGATTTGAGCTCATCTCTCTCTGACTAGCATTAGTTGTTGATCTTGTTGTTGTTGATGTGCATAACAAAAGCCTTACTATACGTCATCCCCAAACATTCTAACAATTTATGAAAACGTGAAAATGACCATATCTAAGTGCTCGCTTGTCAGAAAATGTAAAACAAATGTGTCATTGTTCCTGGGGGTGTATATGAACAGATTTTAATAAGATTTCATGTTGCTAAAACGCTGACAGTTCCACATTTAAGACTTGTGTTATAGCGCCCAGTGCTCTATGTCTTAGCTCAGTGGGCTAGCACAAACAGTTCACATATACAAACAGATAATGTCCTTTATTAGCATCTTTGGAGACTCTATACCAGGGGTGTCAAACGTCCGGCCCGCGGGCCGGATCAGGCCCGCAAACGGGTTTAATCCGGCCCGTGAGATGATTTTGTAAAGTATAAAAATGAGCTGCAATTTTTCAATAAAAGAAACTGCTGTTCCAATTGTGTCCACTGGATGGCGCAATAGAAATTGTGTTAAGCAAGCAAACTGTTTATACCGGGGCAGAGCAAATAGGTCAAGCAAGTGCAGCCAGTCCGGATGAGCTACTTTGTTTTGCCCGCAATATTTATTACGGCTTCTACTTTTAACATTATGTGCTTTGGCACCCTCATTGCCCCAATATGTCTCTGTCAAAAAAGAGAAAAGTGGACGCAGAGTGCAGAGTGTTCCAAGAAAAATTTTCATCCTTCTATTTATTCACGGAATTGAATGGGAAAGCTGTATGTTTGGTGTGTTCACAGCATGTTGCAGTGCTGAAAGAATATAACCTTCGTCGCCACTATGTGAGTCTTCATGCCGACAAATATGACAACTTTCAAGGACAGCGGAGAAGAGAGAAGGTGAATGAACTGTTGGTGGGACTGAAGAAACAGCAGTCTGTGTTTACTCACAGCCGAGACATCAGTGACGCTGCAGTGAAAGCTAGCTACCTCATTGCTAATGAAATCGCAGTGGCTTCAAAACCATTTAGTGAGGGTGAATTTGTAAAAACATGCATGATGAAGGCAGCAGAGATTGTGTGCCCTGAAAAGCACCAGGCTTTTGCAAATATCAGCCTGACAAGAAACACAGTTGCAGACAGGATTTCCGATCTTTCAGTGGATTTGGACAGCCAGTTGAAGCAAAAAGTAAAGTCATTTATTGCGTTTTCGGTTGCAATTGATGAAAGCACGGACATTACAGATGTTGCACAACTGGCCATTTTCATCCGCGGAGTTGATGACACATTGACCGTCACCGAGGAGTTCGTGGAATTGGTGCCGATGACAGATACAACGACAGCAGCTGATATTTTCACTGCACTCGTCGGCGCGCTGGACAGGGTCGGAGTGGACTGGTCCTGCGCTGTCAGCCTGGCTACAAATGGTGCGCCCTCAATTATCGGGAAAAAAGCAGCGTTGTGACAAAGTTCAGAGAGAAAGTGCAATCTGCAAATGGAGGACGTGATTTTTGGACTTTTCACTGTATTTTGCACCAGGAGGCTTTGTGTTGCAAGTCATTAAAGATGGATAACGTCATGAATAAAACAAAGCTGCGCTCAAGGCTCACGCACAAGCACTTGAATCACATCCTGAAGTTGGCTGCCACTCAGGATGTGACGCCTGATATTGATGCGCTGGTGAAAGCTAAAAGATGCCAGGTATCAGGAGTCAAATAAACTATGCAACCCCACTTAAAGTGCTGCATGAGACACCCTGATATAGTTCTGTGATCTGTGATATACTTCTGTGAATCACTGAGGCATTGTGTGTTTGTGTGTTGTTTGTCCTCAGAATTTCAAATAACTTGAGGTGTTTTATGATTAATAGTGATGTTGTGCTTTTGGACACACTGTCCTCAGGCTCCAGCTTTATGTTTATATGTTTTTATGTTGATGTGCTATTGTTTTTAATTGATTTTATTTTATTTGTATATTTAACCTATTCTTGACTCTGTGGTTCTTGCACTTGTTTGGGGAACAGGATTTCATTATTTGTATCTACATTTCTGCCTGAGAAATGACACCCTGATATAGTTCTGTGATCTGTGATATACTTCTGTGAATCACTGAGGCATTGTGTGTTTGTGTGTTCTTTTTCTTTAGAATTTTCAAATAAACTTCAGGTGTTTTATGATTAATAGTGATGTTGTGCTTGTACCATTTTGGACACACTGTCCTCAGGCTCCAGCTTTATGTTTTATGTTGATAGTATTAAAACAAAGAAAACAATCTGAAGTTGTTGTTTTTAAGTTATATATACCATGATTTTACCGGTCCGGCCCACTTGGGAATAGATTTTCCTCCATGTGGCCCCTGAGCTAAAATGAGTTTGACACCCCTGCTCTATACTATGTATTGAGGCAGAGGAGGAGGAAGATGACTGATTGGGTTGACATCAAATCTGATTCATTCCAAGTCTGATTCATCTGCATCTTGGAGATGAGTGTTTTAACAGCAGTGGGAGTTTTTGGCAATGAGGGAATCATCATAATTCTCAGAATAAAAAGTAAGAGAGATTTAGAAGAAAACATCTGTCAGTATGACAACACAACTATATGAAAGTAGAAAATGTCCTTTGGCAGTTTTCCTCTCACTCCCACCTCTAGCCCTCTGATCGCTCTGAAAAGGTATTTTCCCACCTCTTAAACTATTTCTCTGTTGTAACTTATGATATTCGAAACTCCACATCTAGTCTGGGTAAAAGGAGTATAGGAAATGTTCTCATATAAATTGTAGATCATATGTGCTGAGAATTCACAGTAAACACAACAATATTCTTTAAAACTGTCTGCTACCATACTGATTGATATCATTATATCTATCATTATATCAGCCATACCAGACCCACATCATATTTACAAAAACAATCCTCCATTGCCATGAAAACCAATTTGAGGCCATCACCAACTAGAATTAACTCTGGGCTTGGCGAGGTAATGAGGTTAGAAATAAAAGATGTGGGATTTAGTCTTTGTCTAAAGTAATTACTTCTATTCAGGACTGTTCCGGCCATGGCTGAATGTCAAATCATCCTCACTGACTGACATATGGAAGCAGGAAATTAAAATTACTGTCTTCAACCAATCAAAGCCTCTAAGTTGAATTTGAATGCTTTATCGAATTTGCATGCCTAGCTAGCTGTCAATCTATTTGCTCTCTGGACTGTAGCGGAAAATTTCAATCAATCAAGGTGGAATTATAATTTCTCCCCGTAATTGACATGGATTTTCAATCCGGCTACACAGTGCTGAGCTTTATTATTCCCAATGGACTTCCTAGCTTGGCTAAATATGTGTGACACATCTCAAAGACTCTGGTATAATGTGACAGTGATGTACTGTACTGACTTCTCTTCAGGACAGTAGCTGAATAAGAAAAAGGCTAGTCAATAAATACAGTACAGTACTTGTGACAGGCCTTGTATTATTTTCTACTTTAAATCACAGTCATGAATACAGTTTGTTATGGGAGGCTTGCAAATGTTTTGCGTCACCAACAGGCTCTTGAACAACTTCTATCCCCAAGCAATACGACTGATAAATAGCTAACAAAATAGCTACACGGACCAAGTTTATATTGTATCTTTATTGACCTGTTATTTCAGTATTTGCAGTATTCTCTATGCACACTCAAAGGGCCCTACACACTCACACACACTGTCACTCCAACACACACACACAAACACTCACTCCATTTTTTTCTCACTCACACATACATACATTTATACTGACTCTACACACCCGCACACCCACTCATATGCAAGCTGCTGCTACTCTGTTTATCTTATATCCTGTTGCCTAATCACCTTACCCCTATACATATCTACCTCCATCACTCCAGTATCCCTGCAAATGTAAATATGGGATTGGAACTGACTTTTTAAATATTTCCTGTATATAGTATGCTTACTTACTTACTTTATTGTGTATTTCAAATGTCTAATTCTTATTTCTCGTGTTTTTCTTTTTCTTTTGGAGTAATACATTGTTATTAATTATTGCATTGTTGAGTTTTGAGTTTGCAAGAAAGGCATTTCACTGTACGTGTGCATGTGACATTAAAACTTGCAACTGAAACTGAAACTGTAGGAAGCAGAAAGTTAAGAGCAGCTCTTCTGATATGCTCTGTTTTCTGGAGATATTTTTCAAAAATGTTTATTCGAATTACAGCATTTACATATACTTCATTTAGAAGACGCTCTTAGCCAGAGTGTCAGCATACATTTTCAGAACTTTTTTGTACTGATCCCCTGTGGGAATCGAACCCACAACTGTGGCGTTGCAAGCACCATGCTCTACCAACTGAGTCACACGAGACCACCAAAGATGGAGATTGAAGATCAACGACAAACTGAATTTTTTATGTGTTTTTTGATGTATACGTATTTCAGAAAATATCTACTGCAATAGCGTGGCTGAATGTCACTATTACCATTCACAGGACGCAAACAGACTTTTACAATTCTATTTGATAAAAAAGGCTCAGACTATACAGGGAATAAGCTGCCCTTTCGGAGACAGTCTAGGACAAAACAGGAGCAAAGGAATTGAAAGAGGCATCTTGGTCGTCCAGCCAGATGGCGGAGACAGGAGTGTCTGTCTCTCAGAACGATAAAGTCCAGATAGAGAGAGAAGCCCAGTAGGAGTCAGAGCCAGCACAGATAACACTGACTACTGAACAGATGGCTACTCACCCCTCCGAATACACCTGTCCTGTCCTGTCCTCCTCACACAGATACAGGAAGTGGAAGGCTTTTGAGGTGTCATGCAACGCAAGGCATAAAAATGGATGTGTACCAACATAAATGTCTGTCGACGAGCTGGCAGGTTGCCAGGGACAATGCAGGTCGGACAAGGTTCTTGAAGGTTATATACTGACTGGATGTGAGTGGGTGTGACTTGGAGTTTTGACTTCTTGTTCTATAGGAGTAAATGAAAGATTGGTAAAGCGGCGAAGTATGTAAATCCAATCCATTAGTATGTGTGTGAATGTTGTAGCTATTGAGCGACTCGGTGGACCGATGAAATATAAATAAGTGGGAGTTGACACATGAAGCCAATAGTTGAAGGCAACTCTGTATACGAGTGTGCGCGCGCGTGTGATGCCTCAAATCAGTATTTAAAAACGAGCATCAGTGTCTCTTTGAAAAGCTAATCTACAGTCATACAGCACATAGTCCTCGCACTCCTTATCCCTCTGCTCTGTGATCCTCCAATCTCTTTCATCCTCCAGTCCTCTCTCTCTTCCTCAGCCTCCTCTCGTCTCATCTCTCTCTACTCTCCCTCTCTCTCTCTCCCCTCTCCTCTCTCTCTCTCTCTCTCTTCTCTCGCTCTCTCCCTCTCTCCTCCTCTCTCTCTCTCTCTCTCACCACAGGTTAAGACAGAGTTAGCCTATATATAATTTAGTCTTTGTGCTCTGGGTAAAGGCTATGCTTGAACTCCTTTGAGGTGGACCCAGTGTTGTGGTAAACCCTAGCAGACAGATGTGAAGCTTCCAGCCCCTTTGACCTCTGCTATAGTCCCCAGGGAGACAACAACACACACTGCCTGTAATTATCTACTAAACACACACACACACTGTAATTAACTAGCTGAACAGATGCCTGCTTATTCAATATCAGCCCTGAAAACTAAATCATGACTCTATAATAACCTTTTTACTCAGATTTTAGGAAATCTGACTAACTCAAGAAATATTGTTGTTTTGGTCCAAAGCGTGACTCAGTGGTCTGTTCTAGCTTTTAGCCACGACCAGTAGAAATCAACTAAGAGGGCCGGGCTAGTTCGTTACTGTACATTAGCAGGATGTTAAGAGTGATATCAAATGAGAAAATTCTCCAAACCGAAGTCAAAGACAAGCAGGGGATTGATCTTGTTATTCAAGCCTGCTGCTATGTGAATATCATGTGCCTCGCTGCAACTGGATAAGCTCCATAGAAAGAGCCCTGTGTTAACAGCTGAGGGAGACAGAGGGACAGACAGAGTAATAAAGCCAGACAGACAGGGAGAGGGAGAGAGAGAGAGAGAGAGAGAGAGAGAGAGAGAGAGAGAGAGAGAGAGAGAGAGAGAGAGAGAGAATGAGCAAGACAGAAGAGGAGAGGGACTGCATGACAAAAAGAAAGCTAAACTGAGACAGAAACACATTTACAACATAGAACTACTGTAGCTGTAACAAGACCTAGTTTGCTTGTGTATATTTTCCGCAAGCTAGCCCAGGAGACCTGTTATATTCTACGTGCTAAGATCCCAATCTGGAAATGTGTTTGTTCGGCGCCAAAAAATATCAGACTACCCACTGTTACAAAACTCTGGGCCTCACAAATATACAGCTGGGGATGGAAGCAGAGGAAGCATCATCTATGATGTTGGAAGAGAGAGACTAAAAACAAAAAAAAGAATACCAGATATATAATGTAGCAGCGATTCGCATTACTCATGTTTCATGTTTCATGGGGGAACTACAAAGAGAAGGAGAGAGAGAGAGAGAGAGAGAGAGAGAGAGAGAGAGAGAGAGAGAGAGAGAGAGAGAGAGAGAGAGAGAGAGAGAGAGAGAGAGAGAGAGAGAGAGAGATCGAGATAGAGAGAGAGAGAGATAGAAGAGAGATATGAGAGAGAGAGAAGCAGAGATGATAGAGAGAGAGAGAGAGAGAGATAGAGAGAGAGAGAGAGACTTCCTCTGCAACACTTTAGCCATTCTGGATGAATACCATTGTATACAGTCCTACCCCCAAGGACCACAACACACTGAGACACAAAAAAGTAGCAAAGACGGAAACTGCTAATTTTATGTAAACAATAAATCCTCTTTCTCTCATTAAAACAACAGAAGCAAAGAGTCTTCACAGATGGAACAGAATAGGTTGAAATATACATTTGAATCCCTCTCTCCATTCCTCTGCAGTTGGTTGGCCGAGCCAAACCGTGAGACCTCTCGTGAGGAAGAAGGATGTTGATTTATTGGAGCATCACCCAATGGAGGCCTGTTCTGGTCCAGCTCCAACCTCCAACCCTTCCTCCAGCCCCACAGAGAACAGGGTTTATGGGCAGGCAACAGACCAGACGTCAGCCAAACCCAGGGATAAATGTGTACTGTGTAAATCTGCAGAGCCGCACAAATTAAATCAATTACATGTTCCTCATCTGATATAATGAATATGATGAACATGGATTCAAGAAGTATTGACGCTGTGAAAATAGATGATATAAATCTCCCACTGTATAATCATTTACATAACTTTTCCTATCCTCTCTTCTACTGTACTGCTACCGCCCAAAAGGGACCAGAAATCATGACGACAGGACAAGATTTGGCTGTGGCTGTTGGCTGTGTTGACTTCATGCAGTAAAGCTTCTAATAGAACAGATGCAAAGTATATGTACACACTAAGAAAAGAGGGTTCCTCAAGGGTTGTTTGGGGAGGGTGATGGTTCTATGTGGAACAATAATTACTCATAGAACACTTTGAGGACTTCAATGGTTCTTTGCAGTTCAGAAAAGTGTTCTTTCCTCATTAATGATAACTAAAATGTAGGCGGCAGAGGCTCATTAGAATATTTTGGTGCGTGGTTTTCACACAGCTCTTTTTTGTGCAACCGTGAGTGAGAGTGTCATTCCAGTTGATCTAATATGTTATGTCATTACATTTGAAATATAACTATGTTTAGTGATGGTGTCTTGTGAAAGACTCATGTATGGCTTTGAGTCAATTGAAAACAGTTAACTAAATCAGTGGTTCTCAATTCTCTCCTCAAGAGCCCCCAAAATGTTCCGGGGCAAACACACATGCTTCGACATGTCAAATACAACAATGATAACACTTAAGGAATTTTACCAATATAATATGCCTAACCAGAATTTAAAAAATGGTTATTCAAAGAACCTTTGAAATTAAGACAGGTTATTTGTAGAACCATTCTCCATAAAGGTTCTATAAATAACCATAGGTTCTATATAGCCACAAAAAGGGTTGTAACCATAGCGGAACTCTTTTTTGGCTCTTTATAGAACTATTTAGAGCCCTACGAGCATGGTTCTTTATAGAACCTTCAAAAAAAGGTTCCATATAGCACCAAAAAGGGTTCCACTCTGGTTACAAGCCAATTAACCCTTATTTGGCATATACAGAGAGCGAGAGAGAGAGCGAGAGAGAGAGAGAGAGAGAGAGATACAGCCTTATTCTTAAATTGATTTGTTTTTTTCCCCCTCATCAATCTACACACAATACCCCATAATGACGAAGCAAAAACAGGTTTTAGAAATGTTTGCAAATGTATTAGACCCTTTACTCAATACTTTGTTGAAGCACCTTTGTCAGCAATTACAGCATCGAGTCATCTTGGGTATGACGCTACAAGATTGGCACACCTGTATTTGGGGAGTTTCTCCAATTCTTCTCCGCAGATCCTCTCAAGCTCTGTCAGGTTGGATGGGGAGCATTTATGCACAGCTATTTTCAGGTCTCTCCGGAGATGTTAGATCGGGTTCAAGTCCGGGCTCTGCCTGGGCCACTCAAGGACATTCAGAGACTTGTCCCGAAGCCACTCCTGCGTTGTCATGGCTGTGTGCTTAGGGTCGTTGTCCTGTTGGAAGGTGAAACTGGAGCAGGTTTTCATCAAGGATCTCTCTGTACTTTGCTCCGTTCATCTTAGCCTCAATCCTGACTAGTCTCCCAGTCACTGCCGCTGAAAAACATACCCACAGCATGATGCTGCCCCCATGCTTCACTGTAGGGATGGTGCCAGGTTTCCTCCAGACATAACACTTGGCATTCAGGCCAAAAAGTTCAATCTTGATTTCATCAGACCACAGAATCTTGTTTCTCATGGTCTGAGAGTATTTAGGTGGCTTTTGGCAAACTCCAAGCGGGCTGTCATGTGCCTTTTACTGAGGCGTGGCTTCCGTCTGGCCACTCTACCATAAAGGCCTGATTGCTGGAGTGCTACAGAGATGGTTGTTCTTCTGGAAGGTTCTCCCATCTCCACAGAGAAACTCTAGAGCTCTGTCAGGGTGACCATCGGGTTCTTGGTCACCTCCCTGACCAAGGCCCTTCTTCCACGATTGCTCAGTTTGGCCGGGCGGCGAGCTCTAGGAAGAGTCTTGGTGGTTCCAAACTTCTTCCATTTAAGAATGATGGAGGCCACTGTGTTCTTGGGGACCTTCAATGCTACAGACCTTTTTTGGTATTCTTCCCCAGATCTGTGCCGCGACACAATCCTGTCTTGGAGCTACATTGACAATTCCTTTGACCTCATGGCTTGTTTTTTGCTCTGACATGCACTGTCAACTGTGGGACCTTATATAGACAGTTGTGTACCTTTCCAAATCATGTCCAATCAATTGAATTTACCACAGGTGGACTCCAATCAAGTTGTAGAAACATCTCAAGGATGATCATTGGAAACAGGATACACCTGAGCTCAATTTTGAGTCTCATAGCAAAGGGTCTGAATACTTATGTAAATAATGTATTTCGGTTTTTTAATTGTAAAAATTTGTTAAATTTCTAAAAACCTGTTTTTGCTCTGTCAATATGGGGTATTGCTGAGGATTTTTATTTATTTAATCCATTTTAGAATAAGGCTGTACCTTAACAAAATGTGTGTCACGCTCTCTGGCTCCGGGACTGTGTATTTTGGCAGGGTGTGTTCTTTTGGTTTGTTTGGTATTGGTTTGTGTTTATTTTGGTTGTGTTTCCTGTTTTGGGTCGTGTGACTCCCAATCAGTTGGTAACGAGTGTCAGCTGTCGGTCGTTATCTCTGATTGGGAGCCATATTTAAACTGTCAGTGTTCACCTTAGTGTTGTGGGTTTTTGTCCTGTCAGTCATTGTAACTGAGGACTTCACGATTCGTCATTGTTTTGTTGTTTTTGTAGTGAGTACTTTAATTTAATAAAGTCATGTTCGCTCAACGCGCTGCGCTTTGGTCTCCCTCATTAGACGATCGTGACAGAAAAACCCACCTTAACCAGATCAAGCAGCATGAAGAAGAGAGAGGATGGACTTGGGAGCAGTTGAGTAGGAGTCTCGACTGGGCCAAGCCAAAGAGAAGAGGAGGAGGTTTGGACTTTGGAGCAGTGGGTGATAGTCTGGCGAGAACGATGGAGGCCTGGTCCACGAAGAGGAGAGAACCCCAGAAATTTTTAGGGGGGGCTCACGACGTCGGACCAGCAGGAGGCCCGCGATAGAGCGGTCCAGTGGGTTGCCAGAGGAGGCCGTCGGGTTACGGGGGCCACTGGTCGAAGAGGGGATGGAGGAAGTAGAGGCACGGCGAGAGGTACTGGCGTGTGTTGCCAGTCGGTCCGGCCCGTTCCAGATCCCGGTGTAGGGCCAGTGGTGTGTGTCCCCAGTACAGTCGGCCATCCAGTCTCCCCGCACCAAGCCAGTGGTGTGCGTCGTCAGCCCTGTCCGGCCCGTTCCTGCTCTCCGCGCCAAGTCTGTGGTGCGCGTCGCCAGCCCTGTCAGACCCGTGCCTGCTCTCCGCACCAAGTCTATGGTGCGTTTCGTCAGCCCTGTCCGGCCCGTTCCTGCTCTCCGCACCAGGTCTGTGGTGCGCGTCGCCAGCCCAGTCCGGCCCATCCAAGCTCCCCGCCACCAGGTCAGTGGTGCGCGTCGCCAGCCCTGTCCGGCCCGTGCCTGCTCTCCGCACCAAGTCTATGGTGCGTTTCGTCAGCCCTGTCCGGCCTGTTCCTGCCACTCGCACCAAACCAGGGGTGGCGAGTCGCCAGCCTGGTCCCAGCCCGTTCCTGCTACTCGCACCAAGCCAAGGGTGCGAGTCGTCAGCCGGATTCTGCCTGTTCCTGCCACTCGCACCAAGTCAAGGGTGCGAGTCGTCAGCCGGATTCAGCCCATTCCTGCTACTCGACGCACCAAGCCAAGGGTGCGAGTCGGTCAGCCGGATTCAGCCCATTCCTGCTACTACTCCGCACCAAGCCAAGGGTGCGAGTCGTCAGCCGGATTCAGCCCATTCCTGCTACTCTCGCACCAAGCCAGGGATGCGAGTCTTCAGCCTGGTGAGGCCTGTTCCGGCTCCACGCACCATGCAAAGGGTGCGTATCGTCTGCCAGGTCCGGTCCATTCCTGCCTCACGCGCCAAGCCAGGGGTGCGCGTCGGCAGTCCTGATCCAGCTAACTGGATCAGATCGGACTGGGGGCACTACGGGGGGATTGTAGTAGGGTGGTGGTCAAGCCCGGAGCCGGAGCCGCCTCCGAGGAGCATACCCACCCAGCCTTCCCTATTTGGGGTGTAGGCGCGGTCGGAGTCCGCGCCTTTAGGGGGGGGGTACTGTCACGCTCTGGCTCCGGGACTGTGTATTTTGAGCCAGGGTGTGTTCATTTGGTTGTTTTGGTATTGGTTTGTGTTGTATTTGGTTGTGTTTCCTTGTTTGGTCGTGTGACTCCCAATCAGTGGTAACGAGTGTCAGCTGTCGGCTCGTTATCTCTGATTGGGAGCCATATTTAAACTGTCAGTGTTCACCTTAGTGTTGTGGGTTTTTGTTCCTTGTCAGTCATTGTAACTGAGGACTTCACGATTCGTCATTGTTTGTTGTTTTTTTGTAGTGAGTACTTTAATTTAATAAAGTCATGTTCGCTCAACGCGCTGCGCTTTGGTCTCCCTCATTAGACGATCGTGACAATGTGGAAAAAGTCAAGGGGTCTGAATACTTTCCGAAGGCACTGTATATAGAAATGTGTGTGTATAAGCTACAGCATACATTTAGCTAGACAAAAGAGTGGGAGGAGATGGACACACATACACACAAAATATATACCGTACCAGTCAAAATTTGGACACACCTACTCATTCAAGGGTTGTTCTTTATTTTTACTATTTTCTACATTGTAGAATAATAGTGAAGACATCATAACTATGAAATAACACATATGGAATTTGTAGTAACCAAAAAAGTGTTAAACAAATCCAAATATATTTTATATTTGAGATTCTTCAAATAGCCACCCTTTGCCTTGATGACAGCTACGCACACTCTTGGCATTCTCTCAGCCAGCTTCACCTGGAATGCTTTTCCAACAGTCTTGAAGTTCCCACATATGCTGAGCACTTGTTGGCTGCTTTTCTCTGCGGTCCAACTCATTCCAAACCATCCCAATTGGGTTGAGGTCAGGGGATTGTGGAGGCCAGGTCATCTGATGCAGGACTCCATCACTCTCCTTCTTGGTCAAATAGCCCTTACACAGCCTGGATGTGTGTTGGGTCATTGTCCTGTTGAAAAACAAATTATAGTCCCACTAAGCCCAAACCAGATGGGATGGCATATCGCTGCAGAATGCTGTGGTAGCCATGCTGGTTAAGTGTGCCTAGAATTCTAAATAAATCACAGACAGTGTCACCAGCAAAGCACCCCCACAACATAATACCTCCTCCTCCATGCTTTACGGTGGGAATTACACATGCGGAGATCATCCGTTCACCCACACCGCATCTCACAAAGACACGCGGTTGGAACCAAAAATCTCAAATTTGAACTCCAGACCAAAGGACTAATTTCCACCGGTCTAATGTCCATTGCTTGTGTTTCTTGGCCCAGGCAGGTATCTTCTTCTTATTGGTGTCCTTTAGTAGTGGTTTCTTTGCAGCAATTCGACAAAGAAGGCCTGATTCACACAGTCCCCTCTGAACAGTTGATGTTGAGATATGTCTGTGACTTCAACTCTGTGAAGCATTTATTTGGGCTGCAATTTCTGAGGCTGGTAACTCTAATTAACTTATCCTCTGCAGCAGAGGTAACTCTGGGTCTTCCATTCCTGTGGCGGTCCTCATGAGAGACAGTTTCATCATAGCACTTGATGGTTTTTGCGACTTCACTTCATGTCTTAATGTGATGATGGACTGTCGTTTCTCTTTGCTTATTTGAGCTGTTCTTGCCATAATATAGACTTGGTTTGACTGATTGGCTCAAACGCACTAAGACGGAAATACATTCCACAAATTAACTTTTAAGAAGGCACACCTGTTAATTGAAATGCATTCCAGGTGACTACCTCATGAAGCTAGTTGAGAGAATGCCAAATGTGTGCAAAGCTGTCATCAAGGCAAAGGGTGGCTACTTTGAAGAATCTCAAATATAAAATATATTTTTATTTGTTTAACACTTTTTTGGTTACTACATGATTCCATATGTGTTATTTCATAGTTTTGATGTCTTCACTATTATCCTACAATGTAGAAAACAGTCAAAATAAACAAAAACCCTTGAATGAGTAGGTGTGTCCAAACTTTTGACTGGTAGTGTATAACTCTTATTTTGTATTTTATTTTTGAATTTAATATCATATCTGATGTTGTTCTTGTTTATTAATGTTCTATATTTGGACCCCAGGAAGAGAAGCTGCTGCATGTGCAGTAGCTAACGGGAATTATAATAAACTAAACTAAACTAAACACTTGCGTGCGTGCGTGCGTGCGCACACACACACACACACACACACACACACACACACACACACACACACACACACACACACACACATCAGGTTAAGTAAGTTGCATTGCAACTTCTAGAAGTGACATAGCCCTAGTGTGCGCTATATGGGAGGTAAATGGAAGAGAATGAATCACAACAGCCAGTCTACAGTGATGCATACTAATCGGTATTTAACCCACGGAGAAACTCAGGGCCTAGCTAATGACATCCATCTGGAGGAGGTGTGTATGTGTGTGTGTGTGCGTGCATGTGAGTGTGTATGTGCGTGTCCTCTGTGGGTGTATGTAGATGGCAGGGTCATTGTTTCCACCCCACGCTCTAATCCAGGTAGACGGTAACATCGCTGTTTTTCTGTGCATTAAATTATGAAGCACAGATAGGAACGGATTCATATGAATTATATGAAAGGAAACTAAGCCGGGAAATATTTCATATACACATGTCTTGACATCAAACAAAGATGTAAACCGATAATAATGTATATAACATGGCAGAGGTACAGTATGCATGGGTGAGGCTGGGTAGTTCCAATAGAATGCAAGGCCTTTTGGGTTAGAGAATGAAACTGGCCACATCAACCAAGGGGGTGGAGGTGGAAGGGTGAAGAGAGAGAGAAAGAGAGTCAAATCAAAATTAAACCAAATCAACGTTTATTGGTCACGTACACAGTTTAGCGGATGTTATAGCGGGTGCAGCGAAATGCTTGTGTTACTCTGTGTGTTTGTATGTGAGAGAGAGAGAGAGAGAGAGAGAGAGGGAGAGAGGGGGACTATACTTGCGTTCTAAATAGTAAGTATTTTGGGTATGCGAAAATAGAAAGCTTTATAGCATGTGAAATTTCAAAAATGTTGCATACTTTAAATGCCAGGATGTCATACTCATTTAGGCTTTTCATCTAGTAGAATTCATTGCACATTAACATTTACATTTACATCATTTAGCAGACGCTCTTATCCAGAGAGACTTACAAATTGGTGCATTCAACTTATGATAGCCAGTGGGACAACCACCTTTATATATTTTTTTTTGTTTTCTTTTTTTAAAATATTTTTTATATTTCTTTTTATTTCTTTTTTTTATGGGGGGTGGGGGAAGAAGGATTACTTTATACTATTCCAGGTATTCCTTAAAAAGGTAGGGTTTCAAGTGTCTCCGGAAGGTGGTCAGTGACTCCGCTGTCCATTAAGGAAGAGAATCGCCTTTCGAGACCCACGTGTGTTTGACAACAGCTTATAACCACATGGCTGGAATAATGGCTGGAATAATGGCTGGAATAAACGCAACTACGCATTAGATTACACATTCTCAGTATGGACGAGCCTAGTATGTTGATATTTGGTGCTTACTAAGTTAGTTTCCACTAAACAGTGCATTCTAAATAGTATGTAGTACCATTAAGTACACAGTAGGTAATCATAGGCAAGACAGATTTCGGACACGGCCACAGAGAGAGAGAGAAAAAGAGGTAAAGAGGGAATGAGAGAGGAAAGCAGAAGAGAATGATGTATCATTGTTGACTCAGCAGAAGGAGCCTATTGGTCTGTGTATGGAGGGATGGTGATTGGTGGATAAGGGGTTGGATATAGTTATATAGAGAAGCTTTATAAGGGTAAGAGGTTAGATAGAGTTGGATAGATAAGATTAAGCGTTATATAGAGCTAGATTGATAAGATATAGAAACTGTTGTACTGTACCTTTGGGCTGGCCGCGGCCCAACGTGACGAACCCAGAAGAGATGAAAGTATGAAGGTCGTGACCCCCACTGCTGCGGATGCTCTCCTTCCCGTAGTGGAGACCTGCAAGAGCCAATCACAGAGTCAGAAACCTGGTGTAAACCTATAGGGACATCGAGGAGGAGTCTTCCAAAGACTGCTTACTTGCAAAGTTTCTCTTTTTGACTGATGTAATAAATCTTTGGTCTACCGACTTTCATCAAAACCTTTTGAATCACCTGAAAGCAGCAGATACTTCAGATTACTTTGATTCTCACTATCACTGTTGCTATCAGAACCCCTTGATCATTCTCTCTTTAAACTACAAAATGGAAGAAAACTAGTCTTCAAATAAATAAATAAATAATAAAAACATCCAAATAAAAAGCAATATATTTGATCTACTCACAGGAAAGAACCCAATCATGCTTCACTTACCAGAGGTTGCCATAGCTGCAGATATCATGTCTTAGGCCTACTGTATGTCTCGCCTGTATTATCCTCCCATTCCATTACCATGGTAATTGTGTTGCGAGCACTCACACACACACACACACACACACATACACACACACACACACACACACAATATCATACCCGATCCTTCCTGTCTAACCTTTATCATGGGTAGGCCATGTTCCTGACCCTAGAAGACAACCTGTGAATCTAAAGGACCTCTTCAAACCCAATCCCCTTCTCCTGATTCCTTTCCCAACTCATTAAGATGAGCTAGTGTGAAGCGCCGCCAAGGAAAAGGCTATGCATTACGAATTTATTGTCCTTGATATAAGGATACGTGACTTTCACCTCCAATGATCACCTTATGCATGTGAAAGATGTATAAGGAGATAGAGAGGTACCTTTTACACGTGCTAACTTTTTTCTTTTTTTTCGTACCTTCTCTAGTTCCCGGTTCTATATTATTTTGTGAGCAGAGAATGTAAATAATCGGATAATTTCATTATGGAATGAGAGGGAGAGATGTGGTGTTGTGTAGTTCGGAGAGACTGCAAGGTTATTCAACTCCAAGGGCGATTAAGCTTTACCACAGTGAGACAGGCAGGGGTAATTTACATGGGATAGTGATTTTATAGCATTGTCAGCTCCCTATCTACTGTGGAGTAGACATGGTGACATGCACATCATCTTTATCATGTACTGTATGTACTGCTCTCTCTCGCTCTCTCTCTCGCTCGCTCTCTCTCCTTCGTTCTCTCTATCTCTCTCAACCTCTCCTGCAGAGTAAGCTCTCATCCTTTGTAACAACCAATCTACCCATGTTATACTGTGCAATACTTATTTTTCATGTCAGAATTGTTGATCACTCATGAAACCAATGGGTTAAACACTGTGTTACCTAGAACACAGTAGTGAATGCATTATGTCATTATGCAAAATAGCTTCTAATTAACAAGAAGTAACTGTAGGATGCTACACTTAAAGGTCTTCATAAGATTAATTACACCCTCACTCCTGCAACGCCACCCACATACCTCTCACATACACACACAACCACGCACACACATACACAAACACACATGTGCATGAGCACATTCATGCTCTGACACACACAACACAGGAACACACAGGAGCACAGACACACACACACTCTGGGTTCAGAGGTCGTGGTGCATAATAAGTGTTAATGATGAGAAGTAGCTGCTGGGACAATTAGCCTGCTCTCCATGATGCTGTGGTTTGACACAGGTGCACATAGGAGGTGGTTTATACTAACCATGTTGACATAGTCAGCATTGAAATACTCCTCTTTAAATGGAGGAGTTGATTATCAAATCCACAGGGAGGGAGAGAGGGAGGGAGGTCACTGAGGAGATGTTATAGCCGTGCAGTTTTAGGATTAATTGGTGGAAGATTAGGAAAACAGAAAATGTAGAAAAAAAATGTGCAGACTGAATCTGATTATGAAAAGTGCCTATCGGTGAACCATATCTTAATTAAACTAATTAAATCATAGTTTAATGCTCTCTGAGCAATAGACACACACGAACACACACATACGCAGAGAGTGAGACCCACACCCATACACAAATACACACATATACACGCACACGCACATGCACATGCACATACACACACACACACACACACACATACACACACACACATACACACACACACATACATACACACATACACACACACACATACACACTCACATATACACACACACGCACATGCACATACACACACACACACACACATACACACACACATACACACACACACATACACACACACACATATACACACACAGCACTAAAGAGCTGTGGGAAATGTCCCAAGGTCATATCAAAACAAAGTTGCGTAAAAAGCAAGAAGGTTAAATGGTTGTCATGTGAATATAGTCACCATTAGCTGTTTGTTTATGCAGCAGAGTCATCATTAGACTTTGAATGTCAGAGAAACTGTTGTTGTTGTTGAGTCACAAATAGGACCACTGACCCTAAGATGTTAGAATATGGATACTGGACACAGTGAAAACAGATATTCTCCACACTACAATAAACATAACTTCATCTATTCATACTGGACTTAATTCACATTTTTGAACAACAACCAACATAATAAAACTATGTTTGCAGTGTAATGTAAATGTTTTTCCCTGTGAGAGCTGTATGGGTCAAAAAAGCATTATTCAATGAAGTTTTCTTTCTTTTTTTCTCTCTCTTTGTTTCTTTACTTCAAACCTAGAAGTATGTTTAAGGTCAAATCTACTCAAGCCCTCTAAAAGAATCAACTTTCAAGGACTTTTCCTTGTTGTGGCTGCAGGGTGTATAATGTTTACTCCCAGACCTAAAAACAGGCTCTGAAACGTACAACTCAAGCAGAGTGGATGCCAATATAAATAGCATGGTATCCTATTCTGCTGTCTGCACGGTATGCTCCAGGATCTGTTTTTAAGAAATGTATCATTCTAAAAATGCCCGGACGGCGGGACAGGTTTTTTTTAGCAATGCACCAAGGATATCTGTGACACGCCCCACCTGCATTCATAAATACTCTGAGTGTATTTTTAGGAAAGCGCCTAAAACTACGGTAAGAAAATCATCTGTTTTTTGGCAAAGTGGGTTGTATTGTTGTGACGGGGAAAACCACGGCATTCCATTTTAGGATCAGAGGGGATGGTGACGTCATTTTATCTCTTGGCTCAGTTGGAGAAGGTCCTCTTAAGCCTTTCCAGACCTTTAGCTGTAGCTATACCTGGTTAAAGAGGACTCTGGGCCATCTGATTTAAGAGACCTGAGTAGCTAGTCTTGGAAGGCTTCAGTGTGTGTGCAGGGATTATTTTTTTATTTCATTCTCTTTCTTTTTTTCTTTCCGTTCTACATGTTCTATCTATCTAACTGTGTCATCCTCAGTAGGGACATCTCTAACAGAAAGAAAACTTCTCCTCAGGAGTACTGCTGTATTATACTGGATGTGCATTTGGCCACACATTAATATGCATTTTCGTGGTGCTATACCACCGATCCTGATCCCGTTAGTGCATAGAATAGCAACTCCCAATTTATACACACACATTACCCACGCCTTCTCTCCTCTGCCTGTCACTGCCTTTCATGTCCAAGACCACAGGACTGCCTGGTCCACAGTGTAGGGAGAGCCGGCCTGGGATGGGATAAGCTAGCTTACATGATGAGCTACGTTCACTAGCTAACACTAACAACAACTGTGTGCAGGAAGGCAGGCAGACAGAGACACAACCAAACAGGCAGACAGAAAGGTATAGAGAGAGAGAGAGGAGAGAGAGAGAGAGAGGATGGAGAGAGAGAGAGAGAAGAGAGAGAGTAGAGAGAGAGAGAGAGAGAGAGAGAGAGAGAGAGAGAGAGAGAGAGTGATGCTTGACCTCCACTGAGTATGACATCCCACAAGGTCACAGTGAGCAGTGCAGCCAGTCGGGTGGGTGCATTCTCTGTGCCCTGCACGACTTGTTGGGCCACAGCATTAGGACTAGATTGATACAGTGAATCAGGGGGACAGACGGGGCCGCTGACTGGGAGTAGACTGGGGTCGACAGACTGGGGTCGACGTGGCCCACCCCGCTCTGCAACCCAAATGAGCTGGTCTGAAACCTGACACACTTGTCTAGCCTGCACATCTGTTTGTCTGTCCCGCTGTGTGTCTCTGCATGTCTTTTGTCCAATGCGAGTGGATTTTTAGGACTTTCTCTGTCTGTCTGTCTTCCCTTTCTCTTGTTGTGTTTAGGTACGGAAGTACGGGTATTCGGATACGGCCACAGTCTCTTCCTCTCTTAATCACATTTTTTTCGGACTTACTGTGTATCTCTCAAACACCTTTCTCTGTCTGTCTGTCTGTCTTCCCTTTCTCTTGTTGTCTGTTTCTTCCTCTCTCTCAACTCAGACCTGCCTCACACTCCCAATCCTGCAACCACAAACCTTTCTCATGTTTACTGTGTCTCTTCAGAGATTCCATAACCCAGATTTACACCCCCTGTCAGTGGTGTTCTGTTCCCACTTCCCAGCCGTGTGGTTGAATCCCATTCCCCTGCGTGCTGAAGCGGTCACAGTCCCGCTGCAGGCTCTGTGTGCCAGGGTGTCATCCTTGGCTGATTCACCCACTGAACCACTCAGCGTCCATCGTTTCCACCCTGCCAGAGACGGCCCGCCCCTGTTCCCTCGCCAGCCACAATTATCTACACTAACAGGGCCTCTTTCTGTCTTTCTTCCCCTCTCTCTCTGCTGTCTCTATCCCTCTCTTTCTCTCTCTCCCTCTCATTCCCACTCTTGCACAAATCGGATGATTATGGGATGTTAACATAGGAGATTACACCACTGACAGGGAGAGCAGCATGCCGTAGACACACAATGTGTGCACTCTTACACAAAGAAACTGTATAAACACACAATGGGAGACACACACACACTCATTCACTAAGACCACTGACACATATCAATTCAGAAACAGTCTCATGCAGATGATTAAGCAGGTCAAAGTCATGAAGCATAATGATGATGCACCAACACATTCACACACTTCACACAGTATTCCTATACCTCTTCACAAATTTGCCTATTGCTGCCACTTCACCAATTTGTCTTTGAAGATATGTACCCAAAACAGTAGAATATATGTACCATACTATAAAGGTAATGTACCGTGGTTGGACTTGGACTGGTGGACAGGGGTGTAGTGGTTCTTGGAGGAGGTTCGTTGGGGAGTGTTGTCTTTGGGAGAGCCGTTCATCGCTGCAAAGTTCTCACAGTCGTACTGAGATATGGGAATGGGCCCCTGCTGCCTCAGGATGTCTGCAAGGGCCCTGGGGACACACAGAGAGAAAACGTCTGATTTTGATAACATTTTGGGCACCAAAGGTCACCAAAGGTTACTACTATTTAGCTTACTTCTCCAAGCATCTACACTACACTCCAAGGTGAGTGAGTGTTCTTGGCACTGAAAAGTTATAGAGAACCCTTAATAAAACAGTAGAGCTATAAAAAATATACTAATACGCAACAGAAACAGAAACAGAGTTGTGTTTATGAGAAGCAGTTATAATTAGATTGAATTGTAGTGTTTTTCAGGCCGATCACAGGTGAATATGAAGGTATGGTACCCTCGGGGATGAGAAGGAGAAGGAAGAGAGGGGATGGAAAAACTCAACAGCATCATGAAAGAAAATAACAAAAAAACATGTTTTTTTTCTGGCAGCAAAATCGAATTATGTTTGCATTGCTTCGGTTGCTCAAAGCCTTGTGCATGACATATACAGTGGGGGAAAAAATTATTTAGTCAGCCACCAATTGTGCAAGTTCTCCCACTTAAAAAGATGAGAGAGGCCTGTAATTTTAATCATAGGTACATGTCGACTATGACAGACACAATGAGAAAAAAAATTCCAGAAAATCACATTGCAGGATTTTTCATGAATTTATTTGCAAATTATGGTGGAAAATAAGTATTTGGTCAATAACAAAAGTTACTCAATACTTTGTTATATACCCTTTGTTGGCAATGACACAGGTCAAACGTTTTCTGTAAGTCTTCACAAGGTTTTCACACACTGTTGCTGGTATTTTGGCCCATTCCTCCATGCAGATCTCCTCTAGAGCAGTGATGTTTTGGGGCTGTCGCTGGGCAACACAGACTTTCAACTCCCTCCAAAGATTTTCTATGGGGTTGAGATCTGGAGACTGGCTAGGCCACTCCAGGACCTTGAAATGCTTCTTACGAAGCCACTCCTTCGTTGCCCGGGCGGTGTGTTTGGGATCATTGTCATGCTGAAAGACCCAGCCACGTTTCATCTTCAATGCCCTTGCTGATGGAAGGAGGTTTTCACTCAAAATCTCACGATACATGGCCCCATTCATTCTTTCCTTTACACGGATCAGTCGTCCTGGTCCCTTTGCAGAAAAACAGCCCCAAAGCATGATGTTTCCACCCCCATGCTTCACAGTAGGTATGGTGTTCTTTGGATGCAACTCAGCATTCTTTGTACTCCAAACACAACAAGTTGAGTTTTTACCAAAAAGTTATATTTTGGTTTCATCTGACCATATGACATTCTCCCAATCCTCTTCTGGATCATCCAAATGCACTCTAGCAAACTTCAGACGGGCCTGGACATGTACTGGCTTAAGCAGGGGGACACGTCTGGCCCTGCAGGATTTGAGTCCCTGGCGGCGTAGTGTGTTACTGATGGTAGGCTTTGTTACTTTGGTCCCAGCTCTCTGCAGGTCATTCACTAGGTCCCCCCGTGTGGTTCTGGGATTTTTGCTCACCGTTCTTGTGATCATTTTGACCCCACAGGGTGAGATCTTGCGTGGAGCCCCAGATCGAGGGAGATTATCAGTGGTCTTGTATGTCTTCCATTTCCTAATAATTGCTCCCACAGTTGATTTCTTCAAACCAAGCTGCTTACCTATTGCAGATTCAGTCTTCCCAGCCTGGTGCAGGTCTACAATTTTGTTTCTGGTGTCATTTGACAGCTCTTTGGTCTTGGCCATAGTGGAGTTTGGAGTGTGACTGTTTGAGGTTGTGGACAGGTGTCTTTTATACTGATAACAAGTTCAAACAGGTGCCATTAATACAGGTAACGAGTGGAGGACAGAGGAGCCTCTTAAAGAAGAAGTTACAGGTCTGTGAGAGCCAGAAATCTTGCTTGTTTGTAGGTGACCAAATACTTATTTTCCACCATAATTTGCAAATAAATTCATTAAAAATCCTACAATGTGATTTTCTGGAAAAGAAATTCTCAATTTGTCTGTCATAGTTGATGTGTACCTATGATGAAAATTACAGGCCTCTCTCATCTTTTTAAGTGGGAGAACTTGCACAATTGGTGGCTGACTAAATACTTTTTTTCCCCACTGTATCTCTACAGCATAACCTTTGCTGCTCTATAAATATTGTTCCTGTTTTTTAGTTATTTCACACCCGTGTTTTGCAGTTAGGTACTTTATCATTGGATTTGGTGTGGTGCAGACATGTCAAGCAACTATAATGATACTTTAACCTTAACGTGATACATTATTTACTGTCTCTAGATTACTCCTGTGTTGAGTCATACATGTATGAAAGAACCATGCGTCATAGAGGGAGAGTACAATGTTTGTCAGCGGTTGCTCATCGATGTCTGCTCTCCAACATGTGTTGTCCACTAGTGGCAAAGCCCAAAGGGAGCCGGGAAACAGCTGAGAAACACACAGAAGCTTACACACATAACTACAAACAGCTACTTGGTGGAAATCTCCAACATAATGCTAATTTACCCATGTCAGTTCACCACTACAGGCTGAGAATGCACACACCACCACCACCACCACCACCACCGAGAGAGTGTTGGTGTTGGTATGATAGGTGTTATGGGACTGGAATAGAGGTTATTTTATTTTATGGTCTATGACAGTCAACTGATGACAAACTGGTTTGACTTGACTTATCAAAGGCCTTGACATTTTATGAGTATTTTACAAGGAAAATGTGCATAGACATTGTTATGTGTCTGGATTTATCCGTTAAAATGTTAAGTGATGATGCACCATCAGTGCTCTCCATATTATTACATTGGCTTGACTTTATGATGCAGAAACCAGATTTATCACAACATCTGCAAAGAAACACTTTTAAAAAAAACATCAAATATGCATCAGTAGCATCAGTAGGATCATACCCTCACCCACACACCTGATTTGCCAGCCAAAAAGACAGCCTACCCAAACAATTTAAATGTTTCCCTTTGAACACCTCTGCAATTAAACCTCCGTAGGTTTGCAGTGTTTCCCATCGCTGGGGTTCGGATCAAAGAACCATACAAAAGGGTTCTTTATAGAACGTTTAGGGGTGCCATATATGGAGCAAGCAGAGCCAGAGCCATATACAGTGGGTCCGAAATGATTGACACTCTTGATAAACATGAGCGATGACTGTATAAACAAATAATTCAAATACTGAGCTATATTGTATGCTCAAAAAAATGGGGAAATGTTATTATTTTATAGTAATACAATTGCTCAGAGAAAGAGATTTGTTTTTTCTCAAAAAGGTATGGGTCAAAATAAAGAAAGTAGTCCAAAGTTTAGTATTTGGTCCCATATTCCTAGTACGCAAGGACTACATCAAGCGTGACTCTACAAAATGCATTTCCTGTTCATTTTGGTTGTGTTTCAAATTATTTAGTGCCCAATAGAATTAATGGTAATTATTATAATGAATGGTCATTAAGGATTATCCTTTATCATGGTAGCATCCACATTCATGTAGAAGTGTTTAGAAACATATTATATTCTTATTTACAATAAAGGTGACTCCAAAATGACACAATACATTATTTACCATTCATTTCTATTGGGCACAAATCTAATCTAAAGCACATCTAAATCACATCTAAAGTTAATGTTTTAAAAGTATGAGAATAGCCATAATTCATACACATAGAAAGGGACCCATTCATTTCAGACATAACAATTGACATGTGACACCTCACAGTAGGCTGAACTATGACCTCTGACCCATAATTGCCATGTAGTAACATAGTCAGTCTACTGTACAACTCTGTTCCAGGTGCGGCTAGTGTTCTTTGTTCAAGTGTCAGACCTCTTGGTATATTGGCTTAGACAGCTGGGGGTTGTAGATACGCTCCATATTAGCTAGGCTATATTATATGGAAAACTGAAGATTTCAATTTACAGGTTGATGATCCATAACATATTTTATACTGCATGCTAACATGATTTCATTACAGTATTATATGTTTAACGACATTGCCATTTTTCTCTCAAGACATTAAAGACCAGATCATTTTGCGGCACACATAAGAGGGGGCTTTGCACCCAAGCAGGCATGTATATTAATTAATTCATTCATTCGGACTTACCTATGGATATTCATTTCCTGAGGGGGCTCTGTGGCTTTGTCATAGGCAACTTTAGCCGAAACTCCCACCACTAAAATAAAAGCTAGGATCCCACAGGTGATGTACACCGCAGTGTTCGTCTGGTCCATACTCGGGTCAAAAGGCTGTCCTGTCGAGGCTGGCGACGGGGCTGGCGTTTTCACCCAGTCCGGCGTGTTGTAGTTTTTACAGCTTGACTGGTCTACTCTTTTTTCTTTTTCCTGGCAGCAGAACCGCAGGAAGCAGGACCCGCAGCAGTAGCGGTGAACCGTGTTGTTACACGCAAACTCTCTATCAAATTGTCCGCTCACGTCGTAGTAACCGGTACACATATCGTAGTCCTTGGTCGTGTTCTTCTGCGGCGCAGCGGTGGGGACCGCCGCGGTGATGTTGGCTTCTTTTGCCTTGGGAGTCCGCTTGGTCTCTGTCTTCACTTTCTTGCCCCCAGTTGCGGCGCAGAAAATGCTCAGAGGATTCAGGTATATGAGGAGCAGCAAAAGGTGCCGTATCCCCATGGTGTGTCTAACTTGTCAATTAACTTCCGACGCGACGCTTGTGTTCTATTCTGACTTGGTACTTGAAGTGAATGTGATAGGGCTCTCAGTCAGACTGTTGCAACCCTGGCATCCGCCACTCGCGTTGGTCCCCTCAGTATCGATACTGTTACCATACTGGGTAGAAGAGTGAGTATCATCAGTATCGAAGACGCCATTAGTTAAGTTTATCATTAATAGCAGAGCTTCTGCAACCCATTGCGCTCTGATAGAATGAATCGTCATTCACTGAACAGCATGTCTTGGTTGCGCTCTAGTAGGACAGTCGAGTGCAGGGGACTCTTTGTGCTTTCCGCCCGGTTGGAGGTGCTGAAATCGGCCGAGTGTCGCTGTCCAATGTCCTGATTTCTGTGGAGAGCCTTGAGTCGAGTTGTCTTTAAACAGCAGGGTTTGTGCTCACATCTTTCTGTGGTGAAAGTTGCGCTATAGAGGAAACAAGCAAAACGCTTCATTAGCCATTATCCGCACGTCAAGGGGGGCCCATTAAGTCTACCAGTAATTTATTTGGAACAGCGGTATTTTTGTCACATCCCTTTCGTGAAGTGTTTGAAATTCAGGGCTTCTGGGCTTATCATATTGGCTGCATGCAGTCAAGACGTGCTTGTTTAAATCCCTTTCAATGCACAGACATTGCAACTATCTCAATGCATAAAAAGCTTTAGAATGAAATTCTAATAGAGTAGAAGCAATACATACACAACTGTTTTAATTGCAGCCAAATATTTGTTTTCACTCAGTAAAATATCGCCAACGAATAGCCTATTTCAATATATTAGGCTGCTTAAAAGTAGGCTATTTCATTATATCTTACAGGAAAAAGCACAACACAACGCAATGTAATGTAGATATCTGCATTTTAAGCTGAGGCACAAGCAATAGGTCAAAGATAAGGTTTGGTGATAAAAACCTACCTGTGTCAAGATTGCTGTTGACTTGCTTGCTCTCTGTCTGGCGCGGGGAGAGTGAATAGAATATCAGAGCTCAGCAAGAGACCCCTTTCCACTTCCCCCCTCCCTCCCCCCGTCTCTCTTTTCTTCTTCTCCTCCCCCCCTTCCTTCGTCTCCCTCTCAAGGCGTCCACATAAATTACATAGGTTCGGTTTGCTTCTAGCAGAACTCAGCTAGGCGAAGAAACCATCTGTGCTCTCATACTCCCTAAAGACCTTCGCATGAAAAACGAGAAATAAGCGGCAATATTACTGTTGTTTGTCGCTCTTGGGCTACCGTAGTCACAACATAGCCAGAAACATGGGATAAATATATTAATTTAGATGTCAGCATCATTTTATTATAATTCATTTTGGAGTAGAATGTCATTTTAAGAAGTCACCAGAACTGACCTTCTCACAGTCATTCTCCCCCCAAAATTGCAGGTCCCTCCGCAACCTGTAGAATGCCTTGATATGTGCTTTTGTCAGTATATATTGTTGGCTAGTATACACACACATCTATTGGGCTCACTCAATCAAATTAGATTAAGATTCTATGAGTTTTGCATATTAGTGACACACTGAGAAAACACATAAGACAGTGTGTGTGTGTGTGTGTGTGCTTGTATGTGTGTGTGTGTGTGTGTGTCAGAGAGAGAGAGAGACAGATCCACACATGCCTGCAACAGTTGACTGATCACAAAGCCGGGAAGCAGTTGCTTAGTAACCACTTTTTACTACGCCATCCATACTTGTTGTGATAAAAAAGTAAACCTCCCCCTAGTGAAGAGTTCCTCTGGACTTTAGAGGGATGGATGTGCTCGGAGACATATGCACGGTCTCAGAAGCATACTGTACTGTACTCTATATGCATTTTATACATATAGTAAACAGCACAGACTGCTGCTAAAGCACAATGAAGTAATGGAATAGGCCAGTTGCTAAACACCCCTCTGAAAGCATAGGTTTCATGAGTGGGCTACAGTGAGGGAAAAAAGTATTTGATCCCCTGCTGATTTTGTACGTTTGCCCACTGACAAAGAAATGATCAGTCTATAATTTTAATGGTAGGTTTATTTGAACAGTGAGAGACAGAATAACAACAAAAAAATCCAGAAAAACACATGTCAAAAATGTTATACAATGATTTGCATTTTAATGAGGGAAATAAGTATTTGACCCCCTCTCAATCAGAAAGATTTCTGGCTCCCAGGTGTCTTTTATACAGGTAACGAGCTGAGATTAGGTGCACACTCTTAAAGGGAGTGCTCCTAATCTCAGTTTATTACCTGTATAAAAGACACCTGTCCACAGAAGCAATCAATCAATCAGATTCCAAACTCTCCACCATGGCCAAGACCAAAGAGCTCTCCAAGGATGTCAGGGACAAGATTGTAGACCTACAAAAGGCTGGAATGGGCTACAAGACCATCGCCAAGCAGCTTGGTGAGAAGGTGACAACAGTTGGTGCGATTATTCGCAAATGGAAGAAACACAACATAACTGTCAATCTCCCTCGGCCTGGTGCTCCATGCATGATCTCACCTCGTGGAGTTGCAATGATCATGAGAACGGTGAGGAATCCGCCCAGAACTACACGGGAAGATCTTGTCAATGATCTCAAGGCAGTTGGGACCATAGTCACAAAGAAAACAATTGGTAACACACTACATCGTGAAGGACTGAAATCCTGCAGCGCCCGCAAGGTCCCCCTGCTCAAGAAAGCACATATACAGGGCCGTCTGAAGTTTGCCAATGAACATCTGAATGATTCAGAGGAGAACTGGGTGAAAGTGTTGTGGTCAGATGAGACCAAAATCGAGCTCTTTGGCATCAACTCAACTCGCCGTGTTTGGAGAAGGAGGAATGCTGCCTATGACCCCAAGAACACCATCCCCACCGTCAAACATGGAGGTGGAATCATTATGCTTTGGGGGGGGGGGGGGGGGTTCTGCTAAGGGGACAGGACAACTTCACCGCATCAAAGGGACGATGGACGGGGCCATGTACCGTCAAATCTTGGGTGAGAACCTCCTTCCCTCAGCCAGGGCATTGAAAATGGGTCGTGGATGGGTATTCCAGCATGACAATGACCCAAAACACACGGCCAAGGCAACAAAGGAGTGGCTCAAGAAGAAGCACATTAAGGTCCTGGAGTGGCCTAGCCAGTCTCCAGACCTTAATCCCATAGAAAATCTGTGGAGGGAACTGAATGTTCGAGTTGCCAAACGTCAGCCTCGAAACCTTTATGACTTGGAGAAGATCTGCAAAGAGGAGTGGGACAAAATCCCTCCTGAGATGTGTGCAAACCTGGTGGCCAACTACAAGAAACGTCTGACCTCTGTGATTGCCAACAAGGGTTTTGCCACCAAGTACTAAGTCATGTTTTGCAGAGGGGTCAAATACTTATTTCCCTCATTAAAATGCAAATCAATTTATAACATTTTTGACATGCGTTTTTCTGGATTTTATTGTTGTTATTCTGTCTCTCACTGTTCAAATAAACCTACCATTAAAATTATAGACTGATCATGTCTTTGTCAGTGGGCAAACGTACAAAATCAGCAGGGGATCAAATACTTTTTTCCCTCACTGTATGTGTTCTCATTTCTCATTAATTAGCCTTTATTTTACCAGGTAAGTTGACTGAGACAGAACACATTCTCATTTACAACAATGATCTGGGGAAGATTTGTAGGGAACTGGAGAGGTTTGTCGAATGAGCCAATTGGAGACTGGTGAGAATGAAAACCATAACTAAACCACATGTAAAGATAATACGTTTTATCAAACTTGAATTGGCTTCAGTGCTCATGGGGATGTGTGAAACTTACTTCTGACCAGCCATTTACACCATGAAAGCGGCACTCGCTTAGCCACGCTAGCCTCGCCCTCATGTGCGTGCTAACAAGCTAGGGGTTGGAAGCTATGGTGAGCTTCGATTGGTCACCCGTGTCGCGATATCAAGGAGGATTTGAATAAAGTTCAGCTTTCCCCAACTTTAGTACCGCCCTGTTCAGCTCCCTTGCCCATGTTCGCATCGCTCAACTTTCCCCCCGCCCACTCCGCTTCTCTCGCTTTCCATCCATTGACTTCTAGATTAGACTACTGCAATGCTCTATTTTCCGGCTACCCGGATAAAGCACTAAATAAACTTCAGTTAGTGCTAAATACGGCTGCTAGAATCCTGACTAGAACCAAGAAATTTGATCATATTACTCCAGTGCTAGCTTCCCTACACTGGCTTCCTGTTAAGGCAAGGGCTGATTTCAAGGTTTTACTGTTAACCTATAAAGCGTTACATGGGCTTGCTCCTACCTATCTTTCCGAGTTGGTCCTGCCGTACATACCAATACGTACGCTACGGTCACAAGACGCAGGCCTCCTAATTGTCCCTAGAATTTCTAAGCAAACAGCGGGAGGCAGGGCTTTCTCCTATAGATCTCCATTTTTATGGAACAGTCTGCCTACCCATGTGAGAGACGCAGACTCGGTCTCAACCTTTAAGTCTTTACTGAAGACTTATCTCTTCAGTAGGTCATATGATTGAGTGTAGTCTGGCCCAGGAGTGTGAAGGTGAACGGAAAGGCTGGAGCAACGAACAGCCCTTGCTGTCTCTGCCAGGCCGGTTCCCCTCTCCACTGGGGTTCTCTGCCTCTAACCCTGTTGCAGGGGCTGAGTCACTGGCCTGCTGGTGCTCTTTCATGCCGTCCCTGGGAGGGGTGCGTCACTTGAGTGGGTTGAGTTACTGACGTGATCTTCCTGTCTGGGTTGGCGCCCCCCCCCCCCTTGGTTTGTGCTGTGGTGGAGACCTCTGTGGGCTATACTCGGCCTTGTCTCAGGATTGTAAGTTGGTGGTTGGGGATATCCCTCTAGTGGTGCGGGGGCTGTGCTTTGGCGGAGTGGGTGGGGTTATATCCTTCCTGTTTGGCCCTGTCCGGGGGTTTCCTTCGGATGGGGCCACAGTGTCTCCGGACCGCTCCTGTCTCAGCCTCCAGTATTTATGCTGCAGTAGTTTATGTGTCGGGGGGCTGGGGTTAGTTGGTTATACCTGGAGTACTTCTCCTGTCTTATCCAGTGTCCTGTGTGAATTTAAGTATGCTCTCTCTAATTCTCTCGTTCTCTCTTTCTCTCTGAGAACCTGAGCCCTAGGACCATACGTCAGGACTACCGGGCATGATGACACCCTGCTGCCCCCAGTCCGCCTGGCCTTGCTGCTATTCCAGTTTCAACTGTTCTGCCTGCGGCTACGAAACCCCTACCTGTCCCAGACCTGCTGTTTTC